TGTTCCCGCTTGGACTAATAGGTAGAGGTCCCCAGGTTTAAAGTACTCTCTGTGTATGTATTGGGTGCATTGGCGGCGTTGATGGCAGCGTGTATTTATTATGTTGGCACTCGGTGCAAGAACGGATGTATTCAATTACAATATGTGCAAACGTCTAATAGCTTATTGGCACTCACCACATCGTAAACGTGACGGGACGGTCTAGTCGCACACGGCTTCGTATTCTTGCCGCAGCAGAGGCAATCAACATTCCTCTTCGCAACCCTCTCGTTGTGTTCAAAATCAGTTTGTACAATCATTCAATCACCTCTCACAACTTTCCGATTAGTGATCCGTCCCGACATACTTAAAAATTGATCATTGACCCTTAACGGAATCCGCATTTAAAGTGAGGCACAGCTATGATCCAAAGTTTTGAACATTTAAATTACTTTCGTGTTACAGAACAAACCATTGATTTATTGGTAGGATTATGAAATGCCAGCAATTCTGCTACTTTGTATTCTCATGTTGTGTTCAGTTGGACCTATATTCTACAGAGGCTTCCGTAGTGTACACGTCGGTATCTTTTGTATGACCAGATCAAATTAGTCACCACTTTCATGACACCTAGATTCCTTTATACCTACACGGAAATAGTTGAAACAGTTTGTTCGTCCACCTAATGCGATTAGTAAAATCCAGATTGCTCACTCGTGCTCGATCGTATCCTGAAATATGAGTTTACTGACATATGGAACTTCTACTTCGGCGCATTCAAACAGGTAAAATGCTTCAACACTGAAGAATTAGGTCACCATAGGTTGTTTCTATCTGAATATAAATGTACCATGGCCCTGCGAATTTTCTACACTTTTCCTGAAATTCAGTCTACAAATTTCATTTGTTCACAGTATTGTTTAACTCGGTATCGTATAGTCAGTGATTATTCGAGGGACATCGGACATCTGCTTTGTCAATCACAATGCCAATAGTGTGCATGCGCCGAAATCTGTCCCAAAAAGCTGACAGATTTTATGGCCTCTCGCTTCTTCCCGATAGCTCACGTTTATTGATTGACAAGGCTACTTTAAAGACAAATTAATTGTGTTCGAGCGAATTCAATGTGACAGATAATCTACCAGATTTACCCATTACCGGACTTCGGTATCGGACCAAAGGCGTATAGAATCGGGTGGGATAGGGCTAAATGCACGATTTAGTGAATTTGGTATGTGATGTTGCTGAACAGGTTGTAACGGGTTCGTATTATTGGAAAGTCAACTTACCGTACAGAAGTAATTCCAATAGAGGTCAGAGTTTCTCGAATTGCTTTGGATGGTTCACGTGTGACCAGTAAATCCTGAAGTGTTGGTACATAATCCTCCTGAATAATGCGATCCA